TTAATTTCTTTTTATTAAAACAGAAAAATTCCCAGTAAGCCAATAAAAAATCAATACTCTCTCAGTAAAAAGTCTGTATCATTTATGTAAATCAAATAAAAGATTAAAGAATTTAATAAGAGTTGTTCATGGGTGATGTTTTGGTTCTCTGTGAGGTGAATATTTGCACTTCTATAGATTATAAATGTATTTATTTAACAAAAATATAGAGTTTACAATGGCTTAGGTACCGTTCCCTGTGCTTACCCAAGATACACTCATTATAAACTCAAATTATCCCATAGTTCAGTTCAGTTCAGTTCAGTTCAGTTCAGTCGCTCAGTCGTGTCCGACTCTTTAGGACACCATGGACTGCAGCACGCCAGGCCTCCTTGTCCATCACAAACTCCCGGAGTTTACTCAAACTCATGCCCATCGAGTCAGTGATGCCATCCAGCCATCTCATCCTCTGTCGTCTCCTTCTCCTCCTGCCCCCAATCCCTCCCAGCATCAGGGTCTTTTCCAATGAGTCAACTCTTCGCATGAGGTGGCCAAAGTACTGGAGTTTCAGCTTCAGCATCAGTCCTTCCAATGAATACCCAGGATTTATCTCCTTCAGGATGGACTGGTTGTAACTCCTTGCAGTCCAAGGGACTCTCAAGAGTCTTCTCCAACACCACAGTTCAAAAGCATCAATTCTTTGGCGCTCAGCTTTCTTCACAGTCCAACTCTCACATCCATACATGACCACTGGAAAAACCATAGCCTTGACGAGACGGACCTTTGTTGGCAAAGTAATGTCTCTGCTTTTTAATATGCTATCTAGGTTGGTCATAACTTTCCTTCCAAGGAGTAAGCGTCTTTTAATTTCATGGCTGCAATCACCATCTGCAGTGATTTTGGAGCCCCCCAAAATAAAGTCTGACACTGTTTCCACTGTCTCCCCATCTATTTCCCATGAAGTGATGGGACCAGATGCCATGATCTTAGTTTTCTGAATGCTGAGCTTTAAGCTAACTTTTTCACTCTCCTCTTTCACTTTCATCAAGAGGATTTCTAGTTTCTCTTCATTTTCTGTCATAAGGGTGGTGTCATCTGCATATCTGAGGTTATTGGTATTTCTCTCGGCAATCTGGATTCCAGCTTGTGCTTCTTCCAGCCCAGCGTTTCTCATGATGTACTCTGCATAGAAGTTAAATAAGCAGGGTGACAATATGCAGCCTTGACCTACTCCTTTTCCTATTTGGAACCAGTCTGTGCTTCCATGTCCAGTTCTAACTGTTGCTTCCTGACCTGCATACAGGTTTCTCAAGAGGCAGGTCAGGTAGTCTGGTATTCCCATCTCCTTCAGAATTTTCCACAGTTTCTTGTGATCCATGCAATCAAAGGCTTTGGCATAGTCAATAAAGCAGAAATAGATGTTTTTCTGGAACTCTCTTGCTTTTTTGATGATCCAGCGGATATTGGCAATTTGATCTCTGGTTCCTCTGCCTTTTCTAAAACCAGCTTGAACATCTGGAAGTTCTCGGTTCACGTATTGCTGAAGCCTGGCTTGGAAAATTTTGAGCGTTACTTTACTAGCGTGTGAGATGAGTGCAATTGTGCAGTAGTCTGAGCATTCTTTGGGATTGCCTTTCTTAGGGATTGGAATGAAATGAACCTTTTCCAGTCCTGTGGCCACTGCTGAGTTTTCCAAATTTGCTGGCATATTGAGTGCAGCACTTTCACAGCATCATCTTTCAGGATTTGAAATAGCTCAACTGGAATCCCATCACATCCACTAGCTTTGTTCATAGTGATGCTTTCTAAGGCCCACTTGACTTCACATTCCAGGATGTCTGGCTCTAGGTGAGTGATCACACCATCATGATTATCTGGGTCATGAAGATCTTTTTTGTATAGTTCTTCTGTGTATTATTGCCACCTCTTTTTAATATCTTCTGCTTCTGTTAGGTCCATACCATTTCTGTCCTTTATTGTGCCCATCTTTCCATGAAATGTTCCCTTGGTATCTCTGATTTTCTTGAAGAGATCTCTAGTCTTGCCCATTCTGTTGTTTTCCTCTATTTCTTTGCACTGATCGCTGAGGAAGGCTTTCTTATCTCTCCTGGCTATTCTTTGGAACTTGGTATTCTAATGTGAATTTCTTTCCTTTTCTCCTTTGCTTTTTGCTTCTCTTCGTTTCGCAGCTATTTGTAAGGCCTCCTCATACAACCATTTTGCCTTTTTGCATTTCTTTTCCATGGGGATGGTCTTGATCCCTGTCTCCTGTACAAGGTCACGAACCTCCGTCCATAGTTCATCAGTCTCTCTGTCTGTCAGATCTAGTCCCTTAAATCTATTTCTCACTTCCACTGTATATTCAGAAGGAATTTGATTTAGGTCATACCTGAATGGTCTAGTGGTTATCCCTACTCTCTTCAGTTTAAGTGTGAATTTGGCAATAAGGATTTCATGATCTGAGCCACAGTCAGCTCCTGGTCTTATTGACTGTATAGAGCTTCTCCATCTTTGGCTGCAAAGAATATAATCAATCTGATTTCAGTGTTGGCCATCTGGTGATGTCCATGTGTAGAGTCTTCTCTTGTGTTGTTGGAAGAGGGTGTTTGCTATGACCAGTGCGTTCTCTTGGCAGAACTCTACTAGCCTCTATTAGCCTTTGCAGAAGCCGCCAGCTGCAACAGCCCGTGCAGAGGCGTGGCCCTGAGGAGCCCCCCCCTCACCCAAGGTCAGGGGTAGTGACCGAGAGTGCCAGGCTGCGACAGCGCAGGAGTGGCGGCCAAGAGGAGCTTCCCCATGCCCGAGGTCAGGGGTGGTGGCCGAGAAGAGCTACCACACGCCGAGGTCAGAGGCAGGGCCAAGAGGAACTACCCCACCCTGGAGGTCAGGGGCCCCGCCCGAGAGGAGCTACCCCACTGCCAAGAAGCTGCAGCTGCACAGGCGCAGGAGGGCCGAGAGGAGCGACGCCAGGTTCCAGGTCAGGAGGGGCGGCCGCGAGAAGATACCCCTCCTGCAAGGTAAGGAGCAGCGGCCGCGCTTTGCTAGAGCAGCAGTGAAGAGATGCCCCACGTCCAAGGTAAGAGAAACCCAAGTAAGACAGTAGGTGTTGCGAGAGGGCATCAGAGGGCAGACAGACTGAAACCACAATCACAGAAAACTAGCCAATCTGATCACAGGACCACAGCCTTGTTTAACTCAATGAATCTAAGCCATGCCGCACGGGGCCACCCAAGACGGACGGGTCACGGTGAAGAGGTCTGACAGAATGTGGTCCACTGGAGAAGGGAATGGCAAACCACTTCAGTATTCTTGCCTTGAGAACCCCATGAATAGTATGAAAAGCCAAAATGATAGGATACTGAAAGAAGAACTCCCCAGGTCGGTAGGTGCCCAGTATACTACTGGAGATCAGTGGAGAAATAACTCCAGAAAGAATGAAGGGATGGAGCCAAAGCAAAAACAAGACCCAGCTGTGGATGGGACTGGTGATAGAAGCAAGGTCTGATGCTGTAAAGAGCAATATTGCATAGGAACCTGGAATGTTAGGTCCATGAATCAAGGCAAATTGGAAGTGGTCAAACAGGAGATGGCAAGAGTGAATGTCGACACTCTAGGAATCAGGGAACTAAAATGGACTGGAATGGGTCAATTTAACTCAGATGACCATTATATCTACTCCTGTGGGCAGGAATCCCTTAGAAGAAATGGAGTAGCCATCACAGTCAAATTATCCCATAAAGTCTTACTATATCATCTTCATTTAATCTGTGACAAAACAGGCAGAAAAGGGTCAAGTGTCCAAGCTCACACACTTAATCAAACAGTATAGTCACCACTGGCAAACCTCTGGTAGAGTTATACCAGATGTAACAATGACAATCCTTTTCAAATTCTGTTTTTATCATCCGTCTTATATAATCATATATTGTCTGTTCTGACATGTACAATGAGTATCTCATCAACAATAACTGGTACTGACAAAAGGCCACTTAAAAGGAAAGCACCTAAAGCCCAGGACAAACTTTCACAGTAAAAAAGCTTTTTTCAAAGTTTCATTGAGACTTTATCATTAAAAACAAAAAAAGTGAAGCTGATCTATTTATCTATTTTATCTTATATACAATATAACAGGTTAAATATTTTAATTCTGATAATTCTTCTTTAGGAGAATAAGGAATGGATTAAATGATGAGTTGAGAATGAAGGATACTTTTCCTAGTAAGAAAAAAATTATCATAGCCCACTATAACTTTTCCTCAGTGCACTTCTGACCTAGCAGCACGACTGCATGTTTTTCCTTTTTTTTAATATTCATTTATTTATTTGGTTGTGTCGGGGGTCAGCCACACAGTAAGGCTCATGGCTTAGGTGCCCCACAACATGTGTAATCTTCCTGGACCAGGGACCGAAGCAGCATTCCCTGCGTGACAAGGTGGAGTCCTTACAATGGGGCCACCAGGGAAGTCTGATTGCAAAGACTTTACAGAAACTATTTCAGAATTTCAGCAATTTTTCCCAAGACCTTTCCTAATCCATTGATATTATACTGTTTTGAAAGAATCTTCAGTCAAAATCCTTGCTAATTTTCTCTTTTCCCATAGGACACTGGTCTAAATCTACCAGATAATTCTTAAGCATTCATAACTCCAACTTCTACTTAGAAAGGATCTGCACTTGCATACTATCAGATCAATATCTAACAAATTGGTATCCACAATTATTATAATGAAATGGGCAGAGACAGATGCTAGTGTTAAATAAGGTAGAATTTTCAATTAAGGATTAACTTTATAAGGGGTCAGTCCGTTGGTGAATATTTCTATATTTACATAATTTTTCACTTTAAAAAAGAACAAACTCCAAACTATAAGGATTCAGAAAATGAGCAGAATTTGAGGATCCCTGTTTTCACCTGAAGGTCAATGATTCACCTTTGTTGAGGAGGTAGCAAGCAGAATTGTGAGTCTTGATACTTCTCTACACAGGCATGAAAAGCTCTGTAGAAAAGTGTGAGCTCTTACGTGATATGACGTGGTCCATGTACTGAGGTAAGTAAGGAGCCCAGGTATCAATGGCCTCCTTCCGTCCCGCCTGCTCAATTCTTCTCAGTTCGGCTAGAAGCAGGGCCTGTGCAGCTTCTCTGACCTAAAACCACAGACCCAAGTGCAAAAACAGGAAGCAGACCAGTAGGTGAGGTGTTTTTTTCAACATTAGCAAGTTCATAACGAAAGAAAAGCTAGAATGTATACAAACCACGTTTATTTACATGGGAAACACTACACTGAAGTGTGTCGTAGTGCTAATAAAGTAGCATACATTGGATACAAGCAAATCAAAAATATTTCAATTAATTATCTCACTTAAATAAGCTTTAACACAGGATATGTGTATAGGTAAGGCTGAATCCTTTTGCAGTACACGAAACTATCACGACATTGTTAATTGGCTATATCTCATCAAAAATTAAAAAGTTCAAAAAAATACTTTAACATTAATAGAACAATGTTTGAACATTTTAATCGGTTTTGGGCTTAAAACTCCATTTTCTGAAGCTTGCACAAAATTATTCTTGTACTTTAATTTGGCATTTTCAATTTTTTAAATCTCCATATAAATATTATTGTTTAAAAAAATCAGTTAGAAGTATTAATTGTTTTCTCCTTTAGCCTGAAGAAATGTAACCTTGTCTAGTGGATCTCTTTCTATTATAATGCTAAGTAGGTATTATTTACATAAACAAACATGTTTGTTTCACACAGCTGTCTAATGGATTTCTTTCTATTATAATGCTAAATAGGTATTGTTTACACAAACAAACATGTATGTTTCACACAATTCACATATACCTAAGACAGGCTTAAACAATATGCTTTCAACAAGCAAGGAAATAAATTCCTGTGAAATGACATTAGCTCTGTAAAAGGAAACTATTTTTCAAAGTTGTATTATCTCAATCTTTCTTTCAATGTGGCACACATTTACTTCACAGCTTGACTTTATTTTGGCCAAAGCGTCACAGGCATCGGTTCAGTGACACGAGGCAACTGTCAGGTTATGTAGCAATTAACTTATTAACTATTCATCTATTCATAACTGAAAAGATAGCTCAGAAGGGTCTGTTAAGAAATAAAATAAAAATTGTTTTTCATTATAACTAACTTCAGAACTGAATTCAAACATCATTTAAATGCAAGACTGTGAAAATTTCAGTATGCTGCAATGCCACTTGGAGGTGAGGGAAAGGAGATCAGGAAAGAGACAAAATGTCACTAAATTTGGTAAATTAAAAATCCTGACTGGCATAAACTGCTACAGCTATATTCAAATGCTATAAGAAGCAAAATCCCCATGAAACATTTCCAAGTCCCTGGTGATACTATATTCCAAGCGATATCTAATACCGCCTAAGTCTATTAACACAAAATAACAGCTACCATTTACTGAGTCCTACCCATGTGTCAGGCTCTGTCCTTACTATTCTACTTGCATTATCTTATTTGATCCTGACAGCAATCCCGTGAGGAATAGATTATTATCCCTACTTTACAAATGAGCTTCAAATAGGTTAAGTAAATCGCCCAGGGTCATAAAGTTAATAATTGGCAGAACTGATATTTAAACCCAGGTCTCTTCTAATTCCAGAGACCTTCCCCTTCTCTTATAACACAGGACCTTCCACTGGACTGTGGTTATTCACTTAGAATTTGATGGATGTGATACTATTAATACCTGAAACTGCGATTTGTGGAGAGGTGGATTATATGTAGTATGTCTGTGTGCATATATGTGTATGATCTGTATAGAAATCAATACTTAAAAAATTGTTCCATAAGCATATAAAAGTTTTATCAAATATTCACTGCATTAAAAAAAGGAAACAAATATGCAAGCTGAAACATTACTTTTTAGAATCACTGGATCCATATTTTCTATCACATAACAAACAGGTGATAAGAAGCTAGATAAACATAACATTTTTGCTCCAAATTTATACTTGCCCAGTGCCTTTTTAATGTTTTCATTTTCTGTCCATAACACCGCAATATTACCTCCAAGCATCGATCTTGCCATCTCCGAGCCAGCATCTCTAGAAGTGGGGGCCTAAACTTGTCCAATCCCAGCAAGTCTGGCAGCATAACACAATGCATGGCGGCCAACTGACTCCATCCTGTTAAAATGTAATCAATTACAAACACTTTCATATTTCCTAATTCAAATATTTTTCTATATGCAAGTATACCAAACCTAAACCAAAAAGGGCAGATCTGCTCAATTATGTTATGATTTCAATTTATTATTAGTTTGTGCAAAGACATAACAAATGCATCTCACCTTTAAACATATATCATCTCTAATTTCGGCTCTAAGAACTCTCAAAGTTTTAAAACAAAAATAAATTTCCAAAATAAGTATATACAAATTCCACAAGAAAAATATGTTTGTAAACAGCCCCTCTAAAATAAGACATTATGTTCAGGTTTAGAGCTGAGCTAGAGCTCTAGATCTGAACCTATGGACAGTTAAAGGGCATTCACACAGATAGCCACAGATAGGTTCATGTCACTTAAGGCCTGGCCATCTGGTGCGACCATCGTATCAGGCAACAGAGATCTCTTCTCTTCTCTGTTAGAAGGTCTTTAATTAAGGTACTTATTGATCCCTTTTCTTACTAAATGAGTCAGAAGTTTAGCCACAGTGGTAACTGAAATAAGTAACACCAATTTTGAGAGGAAGAAATGAATTCCTATATCCTCCAAGATAAATACTTAATCTAAAATTTATAATATTTTAAGTATCATCAACTCTAACCTATGGGAATAAAAGTCATTTTTTCTAAAATTCTATTCTATAATATGGAAATTGATGATATTAATATAAACACAAGAAACAATGGAAAACCACTACAGTATTTAAGAGTATTAGTAGCCAGACATTCTCAAATCATTTCCACCCTATTTTAAAGGTGCCCATATTACAAGGAGAGTTACCTATAAATAAAAATTTTAGCATATCAGCATTTTGAAATAATCTAAGTTATAGTACTCTTAAACTGCAACGAAAAAACCCATAAAATTCAAAATGATTATTGGGATTGCTAAAAAGAGGGTAAAAAACGCAAGAAAGAGAGAGACGGGGTTGGGGGGGTGGTGGCAAGGAACCTATGCAAACATTAATCCTTTCAGTAAGGAAATTCTCAACAACTGAGAATATACAATTGTATTAATTAAGGTGATAAACACATACATTTTAGATTATAATTTATTTTCAACAGAGGAATATATATACACACATACGCATACACATGTATATATATAAACAAATTACTACCTAAACTTCTAAGTTTTAATATCTCATAAAGGTATGAAGTATATTTATGAACTAAACTTTAATATGAAGATGAGTCTCACCATGGTCCAAAGACAATAGCTTATTTTTGAATTAACAAGTTTCTACCTTTTATAATAGCTTAACAAATATGACCCTAATTATTGTTGCTAAAATCCAGTCTTAACATACAACTTTAGTACAGGTCTATGATGTGGAAACAAAAAGAAAATAAAAGAGTTCTACTTTTAAGTTTCCATGTTTTTTTCCCTAAGAAATGGTACTTAGAACATGGATTCTGTACCTTGTAGATACTGTATCATTCTTTCCATTTGAATAGGCTAGTATTATTGCTTTTACTGAAGAGTCAGAATCATCCTGGGTTACATATGAGATTCAGTAAATTTACTCATTTTTATATCATACAAACTGGTGAAGATTGAGCCCAGAATGAAGAGAGAGGATATAACTCAGAGCTCACAAATTCCACCAAGCTTCCAATTAGTATAAATAATCCTAGATGGCTCTTGGGGAATAAATATTTGTGGATTCCATTCACATTTTCAGAGCTCCAAAAATACTTTCTTTCCCCTCTAACCAGGACACATGCTGTGAATAGAGAACAAAGTCTGTCTGGCACTGAGTAATGATTCAAGTAAAATAAAATAATTAGCTCTAACACCAGAAACCACATGGCCAACACCATCATGAAAACCAACCCCCTTTTTCATGCCTAACTTCATATCAAAGATTAGCATCTTTGCACTTCTTTAACAGCATTCTAGATTTCAGGAAACACAGCTTCCACCAGCCAGGAATCACATTACCTTTCTGTAACCGGCCCTTACTGGCATTAGCAAATCAAGTTAGAAAATGGAAACTTAGGATCTCATATGTAACAAAGCAGATGAATGTATAAATTCAGTAAAAAGGACATGTCATACTAGAGTAAAGCATAGAATTGGAAGAAAGTTGTTAGAAAGTTGAGAGAGAATACCTTCATTTACTAAGAAACAGGTATGTAAAGCAGGAGTGGAAGCAGGGTCAGAGCCAGACTGATCAGCCTCAGACCGAGCGGAAACGACAGGTGCAGCCACTTGCAGAGGAAAACAGAAGAAATAAAGAGGAGAGAATTGAGATACAGCAGTTTCTGGAAAAAAGCTCAGTATTAGTGAAGAATGAAAAACAAAGTGGGCAAAATATAATAAATGTGGAACTGAAAAATGATGTTTTAATCAGAAAGGTATGATTATTAAGGATCATGGCAGTAAAATGATATATTTTATTGGATAGCAATCACAGTATAATTCAAACCAAAAGGTATTTATAGTTGAATGATGTGTCACCTAATATAAAAAACAGTTCTAAAATAACTAAGGCTACAGTGAGAAAATGACGACAGACATATTAAGAATTGTCAAAAATGTAATTCAATTTTTAAAATGTATCACATAATGAAAAGTTTATTTTGGTCTACAGATTGTCAATTATATTTTTTCTAATAATTTATTTTCTAAAGCTATGTCTAAACTATTTTTTAATCTCTCAAACCAACATTCAATGAGATCATTTCAATTTTCTACACTCAATTTATAAAAACTCAATTTAAATGATACCAACTTGTAAACTATAGCAACTTTAAGTTAAATATGCCTAACTCTTCAGAGTTTAAAAAATATGATATGAATGCTTTTTATTCTAAAATGTTATAATCTTTATAGAATAGATGAAACCGCTATCCACCCCAAAAAAGTTACGTTACCAGGAAAAGGTTCAGCTTAAATTATCACATGAAAAGCAAAAGGACCGTATGGCACACACATTCTACAACTGGAGGTCAATGTTAAGATTTAGAGGTCACCATTTGACACTTCCTTCCTATGGAGAAATTACCATATGTCATGCACAAGCATCTTCAAATTAATCCCTCTCCTTTCTTCTGTCATTGAGCAGCAATAGGTTTGGGCTCCTGAACAGATTAAACATTGTCTGCTGAATGCTATGTTTGCTTTTCATGCAGTGAAGTTCTTTTGTAACTACAGGACAGCTGCATGAAAACAACTTTTCATAATTTCCACACGAATGCATCATAATGTCAGTCAGGCACGTGTGAGGTAAACAGGAGAATCAGAGAAGTATATGAGCAGAAATAAAAAACAGAAAATCCAACTCTGTAAGCCCCAGGAAGTCCCTGCTGCATACATGAAAGTTTTATCTGGGAAATTATTATTTTTTTTATTATAATAGATCTTTTTCCTGTTCCTTATGAAAGTCCAAGTATCTTATCATTTATGCTTATGAAAGGATTAAAATTACTCTCAATTGTATATTTCACAGGGCTTCCCTGTGGCTCATCTGGTCAAGAATCCACCTGCAATAAAATCTAAGAATTCCATTTTAAGCTTGGAAGGAAATCCCCAATATTTCTATATATTCTATTGAATAGTTTTTCACTTTTAAAAGCAATTACAAATTCAGTAATTATGGACTACAAATTATTCACTTCCCCATGCAAAAAGCTGGTAAGTCTTTGGCGGCAAGGAGTAATTTATAGGTGTTAGCTTTCATGCCACCAAAATTGTTGAGCAAGTTCCTCTGGTGGTTTCCAATAGGTGAGGCTTTTCAATAATTTCACTTTAAATAAAGGAGAAATAATTGTTATCCCTGAAAAGGCTGTATTAGCTTCATCTGACTTTATCATTAATTCTCAAAGGACACTGGAATGGGAAGGTGAGAAAATTCAATACAAAGAAACCAAAGTTGAGGACTGAGTGATCATTCCCCTAGCTAGGTCAAATAAGAAGTGGGATCAAACTAGAACGTTTTCCCTAAATCACAAGTCTAAAGGAAACTAGAAATGCTACTGGCAAAACTGCTAGAATATGTCTTAGCAGAATAATGTTCAATGTATATAACTTTACTTTTAATGAGAGAAATAAACAAGTGCTCAGAGTATAATAATTTTGGAGTCCTGTTTAAATGATACTGCATATAGAGAAAGCCATTTACACTTTCCTTTAATAAATTCTGTGGACACTAAAAATTAAAAAAAAAACAACTGTAACAGAAATCAACGAATCAGATTTACTATGCTTTAAAAATCTCTGAATCACCATCAAAAAATACTCTATTCAGACTACCTCATAACTGAAACTACAGAATCTAGAACTGTTTTCATAATTCATTGAGAATATTGAAATTAAACTCTATTAGAAAAACCAGCAACAGAAATTAGAAGAAATAAATACCACTACCACAATAAAAAGCTCAAGACTTTATGACATATAATAAACCTGAATAAGTTATGTGCAACACTGAATATCAAAAATTTGCACCATAAAACATAAGCAAGCAATTAATTTCCTGGAAAAGCTGCCATGTCAGTTTGCTTCTCTTATTAAGGATCAGTAAAATAGAAGAGAAAAAAATCACAGCACAGCCTCAAAACGGCGACAGAACTGACACAAGTTCTCTTTTTTAACCTGGGAAAGTTAAGTAATGTTGCAGCTTAAGAGCCTCTTCACAAATGCTTACTCTCACATGAGAAGACAGATGAAGATAAACGTGTGACAACATGGATGTGCACATATACACTGGGCTTGCCCTTTAAATGGCGTGTACAGAAGTACTCCCTATGACAATAGCCACGGTTTCTGTTTCTGAACAGGTCCACTTTAGTCTTTGTTTGAAATCTAAATCTAAGCTCCATTTTTCCCAACTGCCATTGTGATATTAAAAATCTATATAGGAAAGAAAGTGAACCTACTTTTGGTAGCAAGTGCTCTCTGCATATTGCTCTAAACCTCATCATCCTCCCAACTGCTGCTGCTGCTAAGTCACTTCAGTCGTGTCCGACTCTGTGCGACCCCACAGACGGGCAGCCCACCAGGCTCCTCCGTCCCTGGGATTTTCCAGGCAAGAGTACTGGAGTGGGTTGCCACTGCCTTCTCCGATCCTCCCAGCAGATGAACATAAATAGCCCTCTCAATACATGTTTCAGAAGGGAAAATGAAAACCTAGAAGGTGCAGAAAACCAAACGCAATACTAAAAAAGAAAGTTTTCAAAGCTACACACTAAAAATACAAACAACATTATTTAATAGTAAGTCACTTTATCTAAAGCAGTGCTGCCTGAGAATCATGAAGCTTTGAGAGGGAACGAAGAAAACACTCTGCTGTTGTTGCTTAGTCACTAAGTCGTGTCCAGATCTCTCGCGACCCCACGGACTGTAGTCCACCAGGCTCCTCCGTCCATGGGATTTCCCAGGCACGACTACTGGAGTGGGTTGCCATTTCCTCCTCCAGGGGACCTTCCCGACCCGGGGACTGAGCCCACATTTACCACTGAGCCACGTGGGAAGCCAGGAGAAAACCTGGAAAGTTAGAAATGAGGAAACAGAGTCGACCATGCACTTAACACAGAGGCCTTCCACCTGGGCATGCCGTCTAACACAGAGGTCTCAGAGCAACACCTGCCTGCTTACAAACTTCTGTTACGTCTACACCTTCCTCTTCGGTAGACAGTTCTCGTCATCATCTAAATCAACATGAAGCATCAGGATAAATCACTAATCAAACATCATAAGGAAAAAAAGGATATCCTTAAAACACTGTACTAGAGCGCAAATAGCCGAAGGCTCCAAGGGAACACAAAGCTGCAGGCAGCAGAAAGGAAAAGGACCCAGCTAACGGGGATGAGTAACCAACTCAAGACGGTGCTCAGACAGACACGCGTCAAGGCAAAATACAAAAGTGTTGGTAATGTTTGAAACATACAGCGACACTGCTTAGCCTCTAGATCACCACTGGATTACATCAGAATGGGAGTAAGTTCACGTGGAGGGGTACTTTTACGTTGGCCTACAACTTCAACCAGAGTCAAAAACAAAACAAAACAACCTTCTGTAAAAGGTCTCCTTCATTACTAACATCCAAAATAAATAAATGAGCAAGACAGAAACCAAGCAGAGAGCGTTCATTATAGTGAAAGATAAAATTATAACATAAACACTAACTTGAATTAGACATATGAAGGCTATTAAAATTTTCTTTCATTTGGTTAACATAATCAGTGCCTACCCCATGCCAGGTACTGGGCTAAGCTTATAAAAACTTATCTTTATAAGATTAGGCCAAGATGCTGCTCTCAGAGAAGTTAGAGTCTGGAGCAAAAGCAAATAAGCAGTCAACTAAAACCATGAACTGCACTCTTCTGATCTCCTCCACCACATGTAAACTCCTTGAAGGTGGGGATCCTGTGTCAGCCCGTATAGCCTCAGGTCCCAGTGATTGACACATTGACTCTAGAAGCATAAGGAGTAGGTATCTACAGATTCATTCATTCAACAAATATTCACTGAACTCTTTCTATGTATCAGCCACCGTGTGAAACACTTGTGATAGATAAATCAGTGAACAAAAAAGAAAAAAAGTCCCTGAACTCTGAGCTTCCAAAGCAGACCCAAGTTAAGAGCTTCTGCAATTACACTGTAGTTGTAACATTTTTTTTTAAAGGTACATATGTTTAAACACCAAGTTTTAAGGGTTTCACAGGTCAGTTCATTAGCCTAGTACATAATATTTACTCCAAGGTTTTTGCTGTAGGTCCTGGAAAAGGATGGTGAGTAACTATTGCTTATAACTAAACAACAACTACCTGTTCTAAGTTTAGAAAACCTAAATTGAATACACTTCTGAAAAATAAAATTGCAAACAATGTACCATAACTTTAAATCTGTTTTTTGCTTTTGGTTTTTTTAGTTTTTTAGTTTATTTGGCTGCATCAGGTCTTAGTTGCAGCATTCGGGCTTATCTGGAATCTTCCTGGACCAGGGATCAATCCCACCTTGGGATCAACCCCACCAGAGATGAACCCCAGGTCGATCCCTGAATTGCAAGGTAGATTCTTTTACCACTGAGCAACCAGGGAAGTCTGAGCGTAACTTTAAATCTTTAAGCTGCCTAGACTTCCCTCTACACCTACCCCTGAGTAGAGATATAACTACCAACATAAAGGAAGGGTCACAATCAAGATAAGCACTAGAGACACAGACCAGAGACTTTTGTCATGAGATTACTGAGCTGATAAAGAGAAGT